CAATGGGGTCAACTCAACTTCCGTGTTCAATGAGCTTGGGAATAGGCTAGAAAAGGTTCCAAGTGAAAAGCATCTGAGTAATTGTTATGTGCCGTGGAGTCAGTTCCGACTCATAGCGACCCTGTACAGGGTTTCCGAGGCTGTAAATCCTCATCTTTCTCCCGCGGAACAGCTGGTAGTTTCGAACTGCTGACCATGAGATTCACAGCCCTATTCGTAGCTGCTACGCTACCAGAGCTCCTTAGCTGAGTCATTAGACACTGGAATGCCCTCTTTTGGGCTGGTATTTTCAATGACCTCATATGCAAGTGAAAGTTGAACACTGAATAGGGAAGACCAGGAAGGATCAATGCATTTGAATTATGGTGTTGGAGGAAACTATTAAAAGTACCATTGTTATGTGCCATCAAGTGGGATCCGACTCACAGCGACCCTATGTAGTTTCCGAGGAGCAGCTGGTGAATTTGAACTGTCAACCTTGAAGTTCAAATCGACCTTGGGGTCCAATGCTTATCCTACAGCTCCACAGCAGGACTCCCAGAAAAGCAAAACAAATCTGAGTTGGAAGAAATCGTTGGAGTGCTACTTAGAAGCCAGGATGGTGGGACTTCAGACATGTCACTTGGTAATGTGGAAGGGTCAGCAAAAAAGAGGAAGACCCCAAGGAGACAGATTGACACAGTGGCATCAGCAGTCGTGGGCTCCAATGTAACAATCGAGGATGACACAGGACCAGGCGTTACTTCATCCTGTTGTACATAGACAGGGTCGCTCTGAGTGGAAACCAACCCCGTGACACCTAGCAACAACAACCGTCATCCCGGCATTTAACTCTATCCATTGTAAATGAGTCATAGGTTCCCATGGAAGGCGGCTACAGGTAAGTTAAGATTCCTGTCAGCTTCTTGGACCCTGCTGGCCCAAGTTCTGTCTTTTACTTGGCATCCTACCCAGATTTTCCGTGCCTCAGATTGCAAGGGCCCACCTTAGGTGGCATCAGCCAGAAGCTGCCTTCTGAAGGCACAATGTCTTCAGGCATGTTTCTTCAGGGTTGTACTCAACTTCCTCAGATGATTCTCCAAGGACACCTTTTTATAATGCCCCTCACTGTCCTGCTCAACTTCAAACTCAATCCAGCCACATGGCTACAAGCAAGGAGAGCTCAAAAGACATCAAGAGGAACAAGGGTATCCCAAAGGGGATATTTTTAGAGAGTGCCTCCCTTCCCTCCCCTATAGGCATACAATTGTCACACACATGTGCATGCACACACACATACACATCACGGCCCACCTGCTGTCCCCAGAATGCTTCTCTCCAGGGAGTAATATCTGCAAACCGCAAGTTCAGCAGTTCGAAACTACCAGCTGTTCCACGGAAGAAAGATAAGGCTTTCTGCTCCCATAAAAATGTAGAGCCTCAGAAACCCTGTACAGGGTCGCTATGAGTCGGAACCGACTCTACGGCACATAACAACAACAAGCCAAAATTATATATAAAATGTCATTTTCCTATAATTGTCTGCTCACTCCTAGATTAAGAAGTAGAATATTTGTAAACACATAGCTCTTATTTTAAGAGGGATAGGATTCAAATGTTCTCTTGAAGGACCTGTACTTTGTCAGTGTGAGGCAAGAGTCATCTGCATTTTCAGTATTCAGTGCACAGTTGAGCTGGGGACCCTAACCAAGTACAAGGACTGTGCTTGATCTAACCTCAGTGTCAGCTCACAACTTGGTGATGGAAGAGTCTTCGTTAGAAGTCTTAGAAACTTAAGGTAAGATTAAACCCGAACACCTAGATTCTCATGAAGAAAATGACAAACGCACTTAGACTCACAGTTGGGAACTGATGTTTTCCTTAAATTCTCATGTGATTCTCCCCATCACTTTCCACTCATGGCAAATGTCACCATCACTTTACAATAAAAAGAGACTCAGGTAGCTTAGATGCCCAGACTCAACTTAAGACACAGAGCCACTGAGACCAGACTCCTTTGTCCTCGTAGACCCCCAAACCCAAGAGAACGGGTTTCACACTCAGGCTAATCACTTGGCCTGATCAATTAAGCAAATGTAATTGTATTCTTAAATTATTGGTTCTGCTTTGTTACCAGACATTTTGTACAAAAGATCTAAGACGGGTAGAGAACCTTTGTTCTGCCAAAATTTATAACATCGTTAGCAGGCCATACAGAATTATCTACTTAAAAATTAGTCTGGTGTGGCACTGTAGGATAAGCACTAGACTGCAAACCACAAGGTTGGCAGTTCAAACCCACCAGCCACTCCTTGGAAACCCTATACAAGATTGCTATGAGCCAGAATTGACTTGACAGCACTTAACAACAATATTTGGTCAGTCCTGGTTTGGCATTGTGAGTTAATGCACTGGACTGCAATGTTGGCTTGAACCACAGGTCGGAGGTTCAAACTTACCAGAAACCCTATACAGGGTTGCTATGGGTCAGAACTGTGGCTTTGTGGGTTAATGCGCCAGACTGCAAAGCCATTTGAACTGCAAGATCGGCGGCTCAAGCTCACCAGCTCCTCCTTGGAAACTCTATACAGGGTCGCTATGGGTCAGAATCGACTCGACGACACTTGACAACAACAACAATGTAATGTGAGGAGTCCTAGTGTGGTGCTGTGGGTTAATGCTCTGGACTGCAAAGTCGGTTTGAGTTGCAAGGTTGGCAGTTCAAGCTCACCAGCTGCTCCTCTATACAGGATTGCTATGGGTTGGAACCGACTCATAGCACTTAATGACAACAATGTAATGTGATAATTAGTCCTGGTGTGGCACTGTAGGACAAGCACTGGACCGCAAGGTCAGTTTGAACCTCAAGGTTGGTGGTTCAAACCCACCTGCTGCTCAGAAATCCTGTACAGGGTTGCTATGAATCAGAACTGACTCATTGGCACTTAACAACAACACTGTGATAGCTGGAACTTTGGTTGCCTTGGTAGGGCCAAGCCAAATGATTTCACACCAAATGAGCCGGACATTCCCCACCCTTGATCTAAGAGAAGGGTCAGCCATAGAGATAAAATGAGTTTGGTCCTCAGATGAAGAAGAAGAAGAAAAAACAATGTTTCTCAAATGCCTAATTTTATTTTATTGTTGAACTGAATCTGTGTTTAGGACCAGAATTCCCAGGCTGATAGATTTCAAAACCAGACCACAGTGGTAAACGTTTAAAGTAGTAAAATCAAACACTATATAGATTTCCATTTCTAAATATAGTATATTACAGAAGGTTAAATATACCACCTCTGGGTACTTACAGCTATAAAAAGATACATTAACTATACCCAAAACCACTGCTGTCAAGTGGGTTCTGATGCACAGTGACCCTATACCAATTCCATATTAAAGGCATTATTATATAATGGAAGAATAAGAATCCTCTAGTGTATTACTAGGAATCCTAATTTGGGGCCGTAGGATAAGTATTGGACTGCAAACCTCATAGTCAGTGGTATAAACCCACCACCAGCCCCTCCTTGGAAACTTTATATAGGGTTACTATGAGTTGGAATTGACTCCACGGCACTTAACAACAATGTATTACTGTCCAAGTTAGTGCCTGTAGTTACTTGAGATAAAATCCTGACAATTCAGTGTAGGAAGTCAAATCACGATTGAACAAGTTGTTGGTAATGTAAGTGTTAACGGATGGAGAGACGGTGAAGTAACAGATGGTAAATTTCTGACAAGGATGATAACCCCATTTCATACATGATTTTCTCTATACACACAGCTTCTGACATTGAGCGAGACCCCCTCCACAAATCCTCAAACACTTGAGTTCTAGATTGACAATTTCAAAAGGACAGTGAGAGCATCTGAATGATACAATTGACGTTTGGCTTTTTGTTTTGTTTTTAAAGCTATATGGAAATACTTTCAGTTTTCCAAGTCAAAGGTGATGGAATTGCACATTAGATACATACACAGAGAGGAAAAGAAAATTCACAACCTGCTACAAAGTACTCAGACCATTTGGACTTAGTAGGAGATCCAGTTTCTCCATGGAGTCCGCATGTTAATTACTAGGAAATTAACATCAATACAGGGCTTAAAAACCAAAACAGGTGTATATGATGACACTCGTTTTTCCATATGTGTATGTTTTTACTATCTAAACTGGGTAACAGAACTGGAAAAAAGATAAATATATAGGCTATCATAAACCATTAAGGAATGTGGTAGAAATGCATAGTTGGTAAAAGTGAATTATTGATTGCTTTGGTGTGTTTATAAAATGCGGAAGATTCGCTGTACAGTTGTAGCATCAGATCATTAACTCCTTACCAGCCATGCCGAAACAAATTTTTGCCTAAGGAAGTGTCTTGGTTAAGATAAACAATGATGTATTTTTAGATTAAGCTCTTTGGATATTGCTTTGGTCAAATTTCCAAGGCAATATTGTTTTCATAAGCTGAGTCCTGTGGTCATTTTAAATATGCAGTCCCCAAAGACCCTCACACACACACACACACACACACACACACACACACACACACACACACAGCAAAGGCCTCAAAAACTCTCAACACAAGATCCTGGCTTCCTTTTTTTTTTTTTAACTTAATGTTCATGCTTCCTTTTTTCTTTTGCTATTCATGCTTTCCCCACTGAATAGACCATCAGCTCTACCTCTGTGTGACCCCAAGGAGACCACAGGTTCAGGGGAATTTTCCAAATTCTTACTAAAGTCAGATCCAATAAACATTTTTAAGCAGCTACTGGACACTGCAAATAACCACTTCCTGCTAATGCCCTGAGCATCTTCACAGAAACGGCCAATAGTTCCAACCCTAGGCAGGCCTGCAATTTTGTACACAGTATACAGGTATCCAAAGCTTGATCAATAAAATATTAGTGTCGCAGGAGAATAAAGTCATTCAAACCCAGTAGATTTTAAAGTTTCCAGAAGAAGGTGTCCCAGGAAGGTCATTTGTTCTTGGGCAAGTATAATCCACCACATTCAGCTGTCAACGTTGGAGGAAGGACCCTGCCTTGTCATCGAGTTTGATGGTGACGGTTTTCACTTCTGTGTACTCGCTCAGAGCATATTCACCTCTGTGAACACAGAAAAGAGAACAATTGAAAAGGGCTACCTTCCTTGCCCTTTCTATGGAAACTCTGCTCTACCCTAATGCTTTAGTCCTGGTGTGGGGCTGAGGATTAATGCGCCAGACTGCAAAGCCATTTGAACTGCAAGGTGGGCAGTTCAAGCTCACCAGTCGCTCCTTGGAAACCCTGTACAGGGTCGCTATGGGTCGGAACTGACTTAACAACAACAACAATGCTTTACTATGACTGTCGGGCAATTTGGAATTTCTGCAAAAGGCCAAAATGTGTCATCTGGGTAGAGTAATAGTCAGAGTTATAACATCACTGAGCACTGGTATAGCACTGTAATGCTAAGCAAGGTTGGCAGTTCAAACCCACTAGTTGTTCTCAGAAACTATCCAGGGACAACTAGGAATTGGAGCTAACTCAACAACATAACACCATTAATTAGTTTAAGTAATTGGATGTGCAAGTTTAAGTTTAAATGTCAAGGATTTTATGTATGATGCTTTCCAAATAGTCAGGAGGAATAGGGGGAGTAGAGCAGAGGACAAGGAAGAGAAGGCCCTTGAGTGGGATTTATGGGGAGCTGGGAACAGAAACTACACTGGATTTGTAATTTTTTCATGATAATTTGGAGAAACAGTAAGAGGCAGTGACCCAGAGCTGTGGCCAGAGGACTGAAGAGAAGAGTAGCAGAGATATGAAACGTCTGAAGTTGACCTTGGGCACCAGCTATGAGAAGATGGAAGCCAGCCTGAGGCAGTGAGGGAGCAGTTAACAAAGACCAGACACAAGGGAGCCGTCAGCCTTTTAATTAGCATCCTGGCTTATCTCCTGTCTCCTAGTTGTAGAGCCCTAATGACCCTTCTTGTGCATCATGGGTCATCTTGGGGCAGCTCTTGTTCCCAGAACTGAGAAATAGCTTTAAATTGATTAAATGCCGCTACAGAACTTTCTCTGATACAATATACTTTTTGAGGAAAAGAGGGAGACCCATTAGCAGAGCCCAGGTGTGGCATTGTAGGATAAACATCATATGGCAAGTTTGGTTTAAACTACAAGGTGGTGGTTCAATCTCACCAGCCATTCCTCTGAAACACTACACAGGGTCGCTATGAGTCGGAACTAAGTCAAGGCATTTCACAACCACAGTCTTGGCATAGTCAACAAAGTTCATGTAGACATCTTTCTGGTATTCTTTGCTTTCAGTCAAGATCCATCTGACATCTGTAATAATATCCTTTATCCCATATCTTCATCTGAAACCGGCTTGAATCCCTGACAGTTCCCTGTCAATGCACTGTTGCAGCTATTTGTAGAAAAATGATCTTTAGCAAACTTTTACCCGCGTGCGATAGTGATGATATTGTCAATATTCCATTGAGTCACTTCTCTTTAGAATGGGCAGAAATCTGGATCTCATCCAATCATTTGGCCAATTGCTTGGCATAAATAAAGTGAGTGTCTCCAGTGCTGCATCAGTTTGTTGAAAGATTTCAATTTGTATTCCATCCAGTTCGGGAGCCTTATTCATTGCCAATGCCTTCAGTACACCTTGGACTTCTTCCTTCAGTACCATTGGCTCTTGATCATATGCTGCTTCTTGCGATGGTTGAACATGGACTATTTCTTTCTGGTACAGTATCTTTTTGGTATAGCATCTTCTTTGGATGCTTTCTGCATCATTCAATATGTTGCCCATAGAATCCTTCAGTACTTCAATTTGAGGCTTGAATTTTTTTCTTCAGTTCTTTCAGCTTGAGAAATGCTGAGTGTTTCCTTCCCTTTTGGTTTTCTAACTCCAGGTCTTTGCACATTTCATTATAATATTTGACTTTGTCTTCTTGAGAGTAAGTTTCAAAGTCTTTCTGACATCAATTTTGGTCTTTTTTGTTTTCTTTTATAAAAACTTAGTATGTCTTTGTGACTTTTTAGACACTTTCCTAAAACAATTAGTTTATGAATCCATAATAAGGGGTGAATTATTTTTCAAATTTTCTAAACATAACTCAAAATATAAAGGCATAAACAGAATAAAAAGCCAACCTCTATCCACCAGAAAGTCCACTAAAAAAACAAACAAAAAACAAAATGACAAATGGAAAACTAAAAAAGCACATTGGGATGAGCTCTGGTAGCGTAGTGGTTACGAATCGGGCTGCGAACCTTAAGGTCAGCAGTTCGAAACTACCAGCCGCTCCGCGGGAGAAAGATGAGGCTTTCTACTCCCGTAAAGATTTACACCCTTGGAAACCCTGTACAGGGTCGCTATGGGTCGGAATCGACTCGATGGCACTTCACAATCACAAACAATGAAAGAGAGTGTTATTTTCCTTAATATCGGAAGACTTTTAAAAGTTCATAGCGAAGCACAGTGTTACTCTGTCATACATGGATTGCCATGAATCCGAGCCACCTCTATAGCAAAAAAAAAAAAAAAAGCTCATGGATAGATTCCATTGTCTTTTAATTCCATTCCCCACAAACTTTTAAAAGCTTTTGCTATATAAAAAATTCTTACTAATCAGTAAGAAACACAACAACTATGGGACGGGAAAAACTAATAAAGGTCATGGATTTGTGTTCCCCAAAAAGGTATGTTGAATGTTAACCCTTGGTTCCACCCAGACGTGCCTTAGAAGATAGGGCTGGCAATCTGCTTCTGGAAAATCACCTTTTAAAAACTCTATGGAGTGTGGCTCCACTCTGACACACATGAAGTCACCATGAGTTAAATTCAACGATTTCAACTGGTATAAAGCAAAGCAAAGCAAAGTGATGAAATCCTGCAGAATTAGCAAGTATCTAATCAAGTTAGTGGCGCTGTAGGATAATACACTGGACCGCAAGGTTGATTTGAACCGAAAGGTCGGTGGTTCAAACTCACCAGCTGCTCCTTGGAAACACTATGCAAGGTCATTATGAGTCGGAATCAGCTTGATGGCACTTAACAACAACCAATAGATAAATCTAGGAAGAAATAAATAATTTCTGAAAGATTAATGACATCAATCCTTCATGCTTTCTATCCCATAGTCACTGCCCTAGTTCTGTCTCTTCCAGCTCTGACTTGACCCACTCGGCATCCCACCAGCCTCTGGATGCTCAAGCCTTTCTCCTGGGAAGCTCATTGATGTCAGTACTAGGGCAAGATTGGGTCCCTGTTGCTCACTGTCATGCCCTCAGAGCTCAGTTAAGCCTGGCACATCAAAGGTGCTCAACAAATATTTGCCAAATGACTGACTGACTGACTAAAATGAATGAACAGCTGTTGTTGTTGCTATGTGCCGTTGAGTTGGTTCCAACTCATAGCGACTCTGATAGGGTTTCCAAGGAGCAGCTGGTGCGCTTGAACCACTGACCTTGTGGTTCAAACCAACCTTGCAGTCCACAGAGCCACACCAGGATTCTGACTAAACAGTGGTGGTGGTGCCGTGGAGTCAGTTCCGACTCATAGCGACCCTGCACGGAGTTTCTGAGGCTGGAAATCTTTAAGGGAGCAGAAAGCCTCATCTTTCTCCTGCAGAATGGCTGGTAGTTTCAAACTGCTGACTTTGAGGTTAGCAGTCCGACTTGTAACCGCTACATTACCAAAGCTCTTGACTGAACAGTAGCTACCTCTAATAAATGGGACTGAGGGGCAAGGGAGACCTGTTTTTCCACATATCCACTGTCAGGAAATCTTGCTACTGTGATGTTTACTTTGACCACAGAGCAAAACAAAGAACTAAGAAGCGCAGTGGAGGAGACGAAGGGAAACTCACAGGCCTCCTCCCCAGACCTGCAGAGGAATGGATCCCAGAGGAGCTGTGGGTGGGCAGCCGAGGAGGGGAAAACCATGGAATGCACCACATAGTACTACAACATGCAAAAGGGGAACCGCATGGCAGCACAGACACATTAATTAGAGACAACTAAAATGGATACTGACAAAATCAGTTTCTGGACTTCTTATGAACTTTTATTGTTGTTGTTAATACTTTATCAAAAGTGCTTGGGAGAATCTACGCCAAGGGTTAAAAAAAAAAAGATATTCAAAAAAGTCCCAATTGTGGTTAACTGGAATGATTACACAGAGAAGATTTAAAACACTACTTTGTGCCAGGCGCCCACCGCTACCATGACGTCAAGGTTTTGTGACTGTAAATCTGTGGGAGCAGGCAGCCTCATTTGGTTCCACAGAACAGCTGGTGGGTTTGAACCACAAATCTTTTGGTTAGCACCCCAATGCCTCGCTCAGGGGAAGGTGACTCAGGTAAGAAAGACAGCTAAGACAAACACTGTGACTTACGTGCTGTTGGGTCGGTTTTGACTCATATTGTTCTTGCTTAGGGTTTCCAAGGTTTCAGATCTTTGTGGGAGCAGAAAGCCTCATCTTTCTCCCATGGAGCAGCTGGTGGACTCAAACCGCTGACCTTGTGGTTTGCAGTCCAGTGCTTATCCTGTGGAGCCACCTCACTTCCCAATATGGCAAATAATCAAACTAGAAATCAGGTGGGCCCCAAATGTCTTTTCTGGTAGATTGTACGTCTACTACTGTGCTGGTATGAATTGAATTGTGTCTGTCAAAACAAGTTCTGTTGAAGTCCTAACCTCTGCTATCTGTGAATTTCACTTTGTTTGGATGTTGTTGTTGTTGTTAAGTGCCGTCAAGTCGGTTCTGACTCATACCAACCCTGTGTAGGGTTTCTGAAAAGCGGTTGATTGAACTGCTGACCTTGTGGCTAGTCTGGTGCTTATGCTACAGTGCCATACCAGAACTCCTGTTTGGGTTAGGGTCTTAGAAGATGTTATCAGTTAATATGAATCCATACTAGAGAAGGGTGAGCTCTAATCCAATAGGAGGTGCTGTTGCTGTTAAGGGCCATCGATTTAGTTCCGACTCATGGCAATGCTGTATAGGGTTTCTGAGGAGTGGTGGTGGGTTTGAACTCGACCTTGCAGTTTAAACCGACCTTGTGGTCCAGTGCTTTATCCTACAGCACCACACCAGGACTCTACCAGGAGTGGTGTTTTATAACAGAGGAGAAGAGACACGAAGACAAACAGTGAAATCGCCATGTAAAATGCATCTACAAACCAAAGAATGCCTGGCGTCACCAGAAGCTGGAAGAGACAGAAAGAATCTTTCCCCAGAGCTTTCAGAAAGAGTCTACCCTTGCTAACACCTTGAATTTGGTCTTGGGAACTATGAGACAACACACTCTGTCCTTGACGGGACAAGCTGTGTCTGTCATCTAAGAGAAACTGTGTGTGGTATGGGTGGCCCCAATGCCCTATCAACAGATCAAAGGAGGCAGTCATCCAGAGGAGTCAAAGGAGACCACATGCCCGGGCTGGCTACCTTCCAGGTGACTTGTAAAGGTGACCTCTACAGTGGTAGGTCTGAGCACCAGGTTTCTGGGGTTGAATGCTGCTCATTTCGCATTAGTTGTGTGCCCAAAGGCAAGTCACATGACTCCCTGGGCCCAGTGCCCTCATCTGAACATGGTAAGTCCCCATCTCACAAACTATTGCAAGAATGATATGAGTCAGCGTGTGCAGACAGTGAGGCAGGATCTGGCACACAATCCACACTCAGCAAGCTCTAGTGGGTGTTAGCACAGTTGTGATCGGAGGGTTCTGGAGGGGACCCAGGAAACCCCAGCCAAGCTTTCCTGCCCCCAGTGGGCAGGTGGGTGTGAACAGATAACAACGTAAAAGCTCTCAGAACAGGAACAAACACAGCACTGGGGTCCTGTAAAGGGTCTTCATGCCCAAGAATTTAATGATGTTGACTGGAGGACACCAGTGGGCATGCTCTACTCAGATGTCCAGACTATCGGGGTAGCTTTGTTATGAGTCCGGAATGGACTAGAAAGAAGGACCAAGCTGGGGAGAGGGCCCTGGTCAAGAGCATTTGCTCAGGGATGAATCCCAGGCTGTTCTGTGTTGGCATCGTTATCAAAAACAAAAAAGTGAAGCTGCCCGAAGGCCCCACCAAAGCCCAGCCACAGAGAAGCTAAGCCAAGGGGAAACTTGTAAGTCTGTTCCCATTGGAGAACGTACAAGCAAGTAAGAGACAGTGCATTCGTATATACATAATGTAAATTGTTTCAATAAAAGGAAGACCTCTGAGTCAGAGTCAGTGTAGTCCCAGGAAAGGCCCTAGGGAAGCTGCCATAGATGGGAAGATTGATCAGGAATTGTATGTCTATAAAAAGGGATACAGCCTGGAGCCACCAAGAAGTCCGTGGGGGAAAGAAGACGGCATCTTGCTGGAGACCGTGCACATCCACCCCTAGAGTGGGCTGACCAGTCTTGTATTGTACCCATGTTTTCATCTGGGGCCCAATACAAGAAGACCCATCAGTTAGCTTAAATCTGCAGAGCTCATTTCCCCACCAGGCTGGATAGAAAGGCAACATGAAGGGGTCTGACAGGGATGGGACTACAGTGATGGGTTCATAAAGGTCCAGCCGGAGCTGGTGTAATAGGCCTTCTGGAGGAACACCAAGGAGTCTCCCATGGCACATTCCCAGGACCTCAGTTAGGATCGGAAAGTTGGGCCACACAGGTATGGTGCCTGACCTGGGGACAGCCTGTATTCCTTGCTGAGGGTCAGGACTTGTGAGTAATCACACTGGACATCTTCCAAAAAGGGCACTTTTTCAGTTCTGTCTGTGTCCTCACCCAGAGGACATGAGTGTTGAGGCTGCAGGTGGATCCTGGGGCCTGAAGGAAGTTGGGAGGAAGATGGAGAAGGCCAGAGTGGAGAATGGGAGGGAACAGAAGGCAAGGCTCCAGGCCAGCCCCACAGGGACTATCCCACCAGCACTGCTTATCCAGACGGACACAGGGTCACCACCTTGCAAATCTAGTAGATGACTTAGTGCCCCACTTGCAGTCATGATACAACACTTACAATTCTCTGCCGTTCCCCGACATTTTAAAGCCACCAAAAGGTGCCTGTGCATAGATGGCATTGTAGCAGTTGATCCTAGAAAAAGAATGAAAGATGTTCAGAATTTCCAGGAGACCCAACTGGACCGTGCCACATTTATGCACACCGGCTAGAAGGCACTTGATGAAGAGCACTGCCTGATGAATTACCTTTTGGAAAAGTTTCAGTCATTCAAAATCTGTGCTTTCAACTTCTGCCTTCTGATTCTTCCCATCAGAAACGAATGTTTGAATAGATGTAAGTATAGAGTTTTTCATTGGGATGGGAATGGAATGTAAAGGGCAGAGAAACTTCATGGCATAGGAGAATCAGAATTAGCTTTGGAAACCTGACCTCAAAGATCCCCTGGAGCCCTAATCCATTCGTCTTGAAAACGGAGGTAATAATAGGTAGTCTGCAGAATACTGGCAAGGCTGTGATGGTCATCCATACTTTGTAGATGAGCATGCATTGCTTTTACAGTCAGAACCCAAACTAAAGCCAGAGCGGAGTGAGTTTCCAGGGCAGTCCAGAATGGCACTCAAGAACAAGAAGGCTGGGGTCAGAGGACTGGGCGTCTGCTCCGTCAGCCACACAGTAGCTGTGTGACCCTGGACAAGTCACTGATCTCTCGGTATCTCCACTTCTTGTGTGTTACATGAGGCTACCTCAGCAGGTAGCCGTGAAGATTGAGGAATACACTTAGAACCATCCACGGCCCACAGCATGTGATTAGAAGCTGTCTGTTAATGTAAAGAGTCATGAAGCTAGCAAGCAAGGAACTGGGGAAAGCTGATACACACACAAATCAACTCACCAGACCGTGCCAGATTCTAATGCAGCTGCCAGCTTCAGGGCCTTATCAAGGTTCTTTGTGAATACAGCTGCCGTGAGGCCGTAGTCTGTGCTATTTGCTCTTTTTATCACTTCTTCAATGTTTTTGAACTTCAATATTGGCTGCACTGGTCCAAAAATCTGTGATTAATGACGAGAAGAGCAGAAAGAGGCATGTTCCAACAGGAAATCTGTGTTCTCAGCAAGTGTTTCCTTAGTTTTGACCCTTTCAAACACTTAAGCACATACATGCATTAAAAAAACTATGTTTAAAGGACAAAGAACTGGTAAAGGTCTTTGTAACGGTTGTTGCTAAGTGACATCGCGTCGTGTCCTGCTCGTAGCGGCCCTGTATAGGGTTTCCCAGGAGCGGCTGGTGGGTTTGAACTGATGACCTTGTGGTTCACAGCCCAATGCTGATCCTACAGTGCCACACCAGGAGTCCTTTTTGGTTTTACGACTGTTGAAATCTGAAGAAAATGAGTAAAGTAAAACAAAAATCAAACGGAACGAAAGCTATGTAAAGTATAAAGTCTCTCACTGGCACAGGCCCAAGGGTATTGGAGTAATCCACACATCACGATGTGCCATGGGGGGAGCAGATTGACAAGACTCCCTGGATGACGCACATACTTTGCGCTTGTCTACTAACCAAAAGTTGGTGGTTCGAACCCACCCAGAGGTGTTGCAGAAGAAAGGCTGGATGATCTGTTTCTGTAAAGACTACAACCAAGGCGACTCTGTAACACGTGGGATCACCATGAGTTAGAATCAACTTGATGGCAACAGGATGGATTCTGGTTGATTGGGAAGCTCTAATAGCACCGTGGGCCAAGCGCTGGGCTTCTAACTGAAAAGTCATCAGTTCGAACCCACTAACTGATCTATAGGAGAAAGATGAAGCAGTCTGCTTCCATAAAGATTTACGGTTTCAGAAACCCTATAGAACAGTTTGACCCTGTCCTACAGGGTCACTGTACTGGTGTGGCGTCCTGCTGTGACGTTGTGACATAAAGTACCAGACCACAAGGTCAGTGGTTCAAACCCACCAGTCGTTCCTTGGCAACCCTATACAGGGCTGCTAGGAGTAGGGACTGATTCCACAGCACTTAACAACAACAATATAGGGTCGCTGAGAGCATGGTGGCTCTGTAGGAAAAGCATTGGACTGTGAGCCACAAGGTTGGTGTTCTGAGCTCACCAGAGCTGCTCTTCAGGAGAAAGATGAGACTTCCTGCTTCCGCAAAGATTACAGCCTGAGGAACCTTATACAAGGTCACTACGGGTTGGAACCAACTTGATGGTACTTCACAAAAACATAGGGTCACTATGAGTCAGAATTCACAGGACAGAAGTGGGTTTGGGGGCACAGATACAGCTATGAGACTCAGTGCCTGAACCTCTTTATGTTGTTTTTTTGTTATGTTTGTTTGTTTTTAACCAGTGAAGACAGACTAAAATGTTCTATAGTAACTCCCAAGGGAGGGATGAGACTGTTCATTCCAGCCTTCCCCACACAAAGAAAAGGAAAGGAGAAAGCTAGCCGCTAAACATTTAAAGGCAATTTTGAAGGAAGCTTGTAATTGATTCAACACCGGGCACTTCTCTAGTCCCTGTGTCCAGTCTAGCGACATTGTTCTCCTGGCTTCCTTAGGATCTCTGTGCCACAGGGTTATTGAAGGAGCTGAGCTTCATGCCATCATGGTACATACAGTTAGTAATCCGTACGTTCCGCACCAGGCAGCCCTTGGCAGCGATTCACTGTTACAAATCTCCAAAGGCTACCCACTCCCTAAATGCTGTGCGGGAACCACTGGATTGAAGCTTCATGCCGGAGTTAAAGACAAAGTCAGATGCACACTCTAATGGGTGTCTCTTTAGTTTCCGTTATCCTAAGGGTGGCTGTTATGGAAAGGAGTCCCTGGAAGGTGCTAATCAGAAGGTTAGAGGTTCATGTCCACCAAGAGGTGCCCTGGAAATCGACTTCTGAAAACTCAGCCACTGAGCATAGTTCAAGTCTGACAACACATGGGCGTGCCATGCGTCAGCATTGATGGCAATGGTTTCAATTGGTTTGTGATGAAAAACTTCAACGAGAAGTCTACCCTGAACACATTTTTTAAGTGAATGCTTTAGCTTTGGGCCCTGAATCGAAATCTTGATTCGTGACAGAATTCACAGGTGGCCACAGCCCTCCCCTCTAGGCTACATGACTGTCTCAGGGATGTGTTCAGAACACACGAGAGGGATTGTTGCTCCCCAGAGACCATGAACCATGGGTGGAAGCATGGGTGGGGATAGGGGGTGGTCCCCAACAGACTCTATACCTGCCATACAGTTCTCAGGGGCAGGGGGCAAGATGGCTTTCCTAAGCCACAAATGAAAGGAAAATCCTCCCCCTTGTGAAGAGTTCTGGGACCCCCTAAGCCCTTGAGAAGAACTCCTGTTTGGTAGGTCCAGCTCCTACCCAGCCCACTCACTGTCCACACAGTCAGCAGCTTTGGCTGAAGCCCCATGTACCTCCTCTTTGGCAATCCGCATGTTGTCCGTTACTTCTGAGAACACAGTGGGTTTGATGAAAAGCCCCCTGTCTTCCATGGCTGAGCCCCCACATTCCAATTTGGCACCTTCTTTCTTCCCACTCTCAATCAGATCGAGGATTTTATCAAACTGCTTTTGGTCAATCTGTAAAACACATACAGGAAGTACAACTGGGGCTTCCTTCAGGGCTGGGGCAGCCATTTTATATTTTCAAAGGCCTTCAAAATTGTCAGATGTTCTTGGCAAGTCCTATGCCATGCAGCAAACATTCCGTCTGCAATTATCCCCTCTGGTGCACAAACCCAGATTTCTCTGGATTAAGGGGCAGTTGGGAGAGTTTTGCTCTTCTCCGCTTCTCAAGGTTTGCAGTTATTCATACATCTGACCCCCTTTCTCGCTGTGAAATCTGTCCAAGGCTAAAACAAAATCTAAATTGATCACATTCTCTGACTCTTTGCCTCTAACTCAGGTGCCAGATTTAGTCAATAAAAATGAATGCAATTGCTTTAAATTTGAATTTTGGATAAACAACAAAAAACTTTTTAGTATAAGTATGTCCCGAGCAATATTTGGGACACACTTGTACTAAAAATGTTTTGTGGATCTGAAATTCGAATGTACTTGGGAGTCCTGCATGTCGTCTTTCACGTGGCACCATGAATGAGGGTAAACAGTCAGCGGAATTGTCTGCTCATGGTAGGGACCGGAAGTGGTCCCTGAATTCAGCACCTCCTGAAAACAGAGTGGAATGGTCTGAGGGGTGCTCCTTGGTTACTGGGAAGCAAATTCATCAGAAAGGCTCTATCCACCTTCTTATCCAATGATCTCTCTGGTTGTATCATCAGCCAATACCTCGATCGTGGGCATGGTACCTAAAGAGCTGTTGAAAGGACACCCCTTTAGGGGACTGTTCAAAGGGAGAAATGCTCTTCTGACATCCCCCCCCACCCCCAACACATCCTCCCCACACTGACCCTTCTTCCTAAATTCTGCAGGAGACCTAGTGTTTGCCGTGACCCTGTTAACAGTCCCCTTCCCTTCTCTTTGTCTGGGAGAGACAGAGCTGCGTACGTAAGTTTATTGTAGCTGAGACTTTAGACAGAAAAACTGGTTTTACTTAAAGAATTTTAAAGAAACACACACACACACACACACACACACACAAGCAAAACCCAGTGGTGCATTTGGATGATTGTCTGCTGTGAGGAGCTGACAGGAGACTCGTCCCGTCACCTCAAAGAATGTGGTTCCAGTTTTAAGATGCTGGGCTGGATCGCCAGGCCACACTTTACACCAAGATAAATTCCAGATACAGCCAAGATCTAACTGTGAAAAATGAAACCACGATGTGTTCAAGTTCTCTCTCAAGAGACAAAGTTTCTGCAAACTTGGAATGATGGTGGCCTTTTCATGACTCAAAAGCCAGAAGGCAAAGAAGGAAAGGTTGAAACATTTGGTTATGAAAAACAATAACAAATATCAAAAACATCATAAGCAAGACCAAAGGACAACACAACATGCTTGGGGGGTGGGAGGTGGGGGGAAGACAGAGCTAGTCTCTCTACTAAGGAGCTCTGGTAGCATAGTTGTTATGAATCAGGCTGCTAACCTCAGGCTCACCAGTTTGAAACTACCAGGCGTTCATTCGGGTGGAGAAAGATGAGGCTTTCTGCGCCCGTAAAGATTTACAGCCTCAGAAGCCCTATACAGGGTCGCTGTGAGTCAGAACTGACTCCACGGCACATCAGCGACAACCACTAATCTCTCTATGACATACCTAGATGTCTAGAGTTGACAAGATAAATTACCAACAATCTATGCAAAGGAAATGCATGGTTGATAGAAAAGGAAATGTAAAAGGCTTTTCAACATATGATCAGATGTTCCATCTTACTCATTAAAAGTGATACACGTGTATTAAAACTAAACGAACTATCACTTTTAACTATCAGATGGGCAAAAATTCAGAAGCTGACAACATACTCTGTTGGAAAGGCTATAGAAACAGACAAACTAAGACGCTGCTGGAAGAAGACATTGGCTCATCACTGGAGGAAGACGATTTGTCATTGTTTATGAAATCACAACTGTGTTCCCATTTGGCAGTCCCACTTAGTGACCTGATGTATTTGCTGTGGCACGGAGTGTGTGATAGCACACACCTACACCTCTTCAGAAGGTGATTGCTAAAATAAATTCATACGTGGACACCTATGGCCACGGGAAAAGGAATGAGGGAGATCCCCAGGGACTAGAATGCAAGCTCTCCCAGTTTCTCATTAAGGGGCAAAACAAAGGTGCAAGAACTGTCTAGATATCGAAGTATCGTCTGCCTAGCAACAACGGCATAAATAAGAGTGCATGTTCGTATTTCCTGCATATGCATAAAGAAGCTCTAGAAGGGTACCTAAGACACTTCAGAACGAGAGCTCTCTCTCCAGGGAGGCCAATAAGAACCAGTGTATGGGATGGGCGTTTAGAGGGAACCTTTTTACTGTATTTCATGTTACACATCTTGGTCTTTTTTTTTTTTTTTTGATCCAAATGAGTGTGCTTCCACTCAAAAGAATAAATTTAAATAAAATGAAACAACTGCCATAGAGCCAGTAATAGCCCAAATCTCTCTTCCCTTCTTCCTGGATAAACCTAGTCTTGGATTAAAAGTTCCAGGTGTTGCTGAGCCTCCTCCACCTCCCTGAAGGCCTTCATCAAACTAGAGGTGATGTGTCCCGGGTGACTGCTGACCACATGTCCCCTGTACAACCGGGTCACAGTGTCCATATGTTCTTCCGGCACTGTTAGGCCCCTGGTGGAAACTCTACACATCCTAAGTAAGGTCTCCCTGGGGAGTCTGTATGAACATATTGTTTAAATCTCGGACTCCTCCATTATGTTTCCGCTGATACCTTCTGTGCAGGAAGAGGAAGCTGCCAGGACACGAGATGACAAGGCAGGGCACAGCCCCAGAAACCGAGAAATATGGCCCCCTAGGGACGGGGCCCTAAGACTGTGCTCTTGGCCGGACAGGGTGGACGCCAGACTCTGCACTGGCCAGGTGGTTTGCATAATATTTGCGTGCCTTGTTGCTCAGTTGCCAAATAAACCTGAACACTTTTGGAGTGTTCCAGAGAGTATCTTGGCTCCAGTGGGCTCGGATCTAGGTCAGTGAGCTGTTTCACAGGCATGAGACAGACAGGGCTATTTAGACAGATGTAAATGCTCCAGAACAAAATCTTATTACCATAGATGAAAAAGCACTTTGGAGGGAAAGAAACCCAACAGTGTCTTAAAATAATATTCTGAGGTTAGACGGCTTAAGTGAGCTTTCACAAGGACTTTCAGCAGCAGGATCAAAAGCACTGATGAAATCAACACCCCTCCTGCTTGGCTTTGCTCGTTGGGAAGAGATTTGTGTATCTGGCTTCAGAATGGAAGACTGGAGTTTTGGAAAGAGACTTGCCCAATAATGATGAAAGAAGAGGATTTCCTTAGCAGAGAGATCAGCTCACAGATTTCCCGTCGATTTGAGATTAGCCTTGAAATCACAAGTGGGTTTGATAATGACTTGTGGTCCTGTTTGGACTTGAATCTGAAATTCAACCGTGGCCACTGACTTGAAGACCCCTGTGTCACATGGCCACTGGGTTTGGAGCAGAGGTGGGGCAGGCAGTGATGGGGATGAGGAATGTTGGTCATAATGAAGGTGTGCCATGTGGCATCAGACACAGGGCACGGAGGCTGGGGATGTGCCATGTGGCATCAGACACAGGGCATGGAGGCATTAACACCAGAAATGCAATTCTCTTCCGCTCTCCACCAGCCCCAGAGTCTCCACCAGGCAGGTAGGGACAGTCATTCATTATTGCCTAGATCAGGGGCCTCACTCATTCATCTGTTCCCCCCTTAAACATGAAAACCACCCTCTATTGAGTGTCTACCAAGGGCCATGAAATTCTCATAATAGTCACATATTATTCATAACTTCTAAGTGAGGAAACTGAGGCTTCGGAAGATCTGGGGGGCTTCTGCAAAGTCAGAATAACTCTGCACCCAGAGCCAAAGCTTGGCATACAAACAGAAGCTAGTGGGCTAGAGGCAAGCTCTCCTTGAGGCCTCACGGACATGTGAGCTGGGACTCCATGGTTGTGCTGAACTTTGGCTAAAAGCAAAGTGGAAAGCTGTCATGCTCCATTTGAATAATGTGTGAGATGGTTAAGCTGCCCTCTTTGAAATCTTTATCCCTCTCACTGCCTGGCTAGTACGACAGTGATACAGGTTGTGCTCTGTTAAAGAAGTGATTATGTTGGCTAGGGTCATTGTCATACTGGCCTCGGTTCCCCAAACCAGGTCTCCAGAGACATGCTCTTACTGCTCGGATATGCATCCCTGGCCCTTTGATTTCAGTCACCTTCTCCTAAAATGGGGCCCGGGGCCTTCAAGTGGAGACCCTACTGGCACCCTGTGACTTTTCAGCCCTGTGGGGCTGGTGGGCCACAGCTCAGGGCCTCTCTTCCTGGTTTAGGAGTGTTTAGACCACCCTTCTTCAAGGCCATTAGATAAGTGAGGCTCTGCCTAAGGTTCTATCTTTGGGGGATCTCTGAGAGCAGGGAGGTGAAGGCAGATGGCTCTATGTACTAAAGGGGCCCTCTTCCCAAGGACCTGCGTGTTGTACACCTGCTCTAGAGGGCTGAGCCCCTTGTGCCCCCAGTCCCACTTCATTAATGCAGAGAGTCAGGTGGCTGCCCCTCCATCAGCATCTCAGCCAAGCCCCAGTGTCAGGGTGAACCAGAGCTCATTCCCTCCAGGTGCCTTGAAATCACAGGGCACCAAGGCTACAGGGGCGATGGAGGAGTTGCCCTGCTGAGCGCCCCAGCCAGGCACCTTGAGGCCAGACCCGTCAGTTGGTTACCTGGGGCCCCTGCTCAGTCTTGGCATCAAAGGGGTCTCCGACAGGCCGCTTCTTGGTATACTCCACGCTGCGCTGGACAAATTCGGCATAGATCTGTTCCTCCACGAAGACCCTGGAGGCAGCTGTGCAGCACTGGCCTTGGTTAAAGAACACACCCTGATGGGCACACTCCACAGCCAAGTCCACTGCAGGTGTGAGGAAGAGGAAGAGTCATTAGAGCAAGACTCTAACTGCCCACCCACAGAAGACAGCTGGCCCCCAAACGGCTGACTGCAGAAAGTAACTTTGTTCTCCGCATTCTCCCAACAGAGAAGATGGGGAAAAAAAATTCAGGTCAACCAAGTTAGGGGTGAAATCCGTGACCGCAGACCTCATCAGTGTCTTTGCACACAGACTTCCTTTTCCATTGTCACCTGCCCATGGAGCTCCCTAGTCCCTTTTCTGGAAGATGAATACACTGGTGGGTGCATGGTAAATTTCTAGCCTTCCATGTGGAAGAGCCAGGTTTCAGTCCTGGCCGGTGGATCACATGCCTAACTTCCAGCCATCTGTCACTATGATGCTGAATAGGCTTTAGTGGAAATTCCAAAGGAAGATGGATGAGGAAGAAAGGTCTGGTGATCTACATCCAAAAAGTAGCCAATGAAATTCCTCTGGATCACAAGAGTCCAATTCCACTGTACGTGGAGTCACCATGAGTTGGGGCCAGCTAATAACAAAATGTCCTACAGGATAAACTTGGCAAATACTGAATTCAATCGCACAGAACTTCTAAAGGAGACAAAATTCTTCCATCTTGAGTGAAAAAGAGGTCTTATTAAACAGCATAACACCATATTTGACTTAGAAGGGTTAGAAAAAAATAAAAGCATTATTAGAGCTGAGCAGAGTTGCACATGAATTGTAAAGCAGCTGTTTAATTAAAAGCAGTTGCCAAAACCAAGATAGAAGGGTGCTTATTTACGGAAGCTCTGTGAGGATAGGCTTAAATAGGTAAGAATGGGGATGCCACGTCATTCCCAAGAGGCCAGTTTGTCAGCCCTCCTTCACTCTTCACCCCTCCCCCATTGCCTGCTTGAGAAATGAACCTTCCGTTTGCAAGGGGCAAAGGTAAGAGCCCCTCACGGCAAGGCCTGTGTACAAGAGGCTGTGGCAGCAGAGACCATCATGGGAAGCTTCAGCCCCTTCTTTGCCTCCTCCCCAACCTCTGCAGTCCAATGTCAACTTAAATTGCCTTTCTTCTGAGAGAACGGACTCATTTCCTACGCACTGCTGGGAGCAGGGGTGACGGCCACAGTGCCAGGGAATGGTGGCATTGATGTTGGTGTCATGCCTGGAATGCCGCTTAGGTCAGGATTTAATTCCATGCACGGGCACTGCCCCATGAGAAGGAGTTTGGCTCCGGAGTGTTTATGGCCCCTGCTGGAAAAACCCATCCCAAACAGAAGCTGCAGTTTGGAAAGGCAGATGTGGCACCCAGAGATGGCCGCACAAGAACACCAAGCAAGGGACCTGACTCCTGACACTCAATGGGAGTCACAGTGGGGACACCCGGTGGCTCCAGAAACCACAGCAACACTAATGACGCTTCCACAAGGGAGCACGGACGCAGGCAAGAAATGGGCAGGCCCAGCATTCCTTTCGGGTCTACTGCCTGACTTCTCCCCAGCTGGTTTCCTCTCCCAGGCCACTCTCACAGGAAACCATCATCTTCAAGATGAGGAATTGATAGCAGTCATTCACACCTTAGTGAGAATTTGTGCCAGGTCATTTTTTTTCTCAGGGATGGTTGCAATTCCAACCTTATCTAAGTGTGGAGTGAAAGGCTTTGTTCTCCATGAAAGGAATTTCTGGCACCAGTAGACAGGTGGGAGAGGCTATTCTTCGGGCAAAAAGTACTGTGGAGCGCACACCTCTGCAGAGCTGACCCTATTAACAGGGCAATGTGTGGCTCAGTGTGGCTCCACTGTCCCTCTTCTGGACATAGCATATACTTTAATACCGTGTCATCCTGCTCTAACGAGACACCAGCTGCCCTCAAGTTGCAAAGCAGGGCAACTTTTCCAGGGAATTGGTGGTGGCAGGACAGGACCGTATTCAAGATCAGGGGGTATTTGATTTGGCAGGCACGAGAGAAAGGAAGAATCCCCCGGTGGTACAAATGACTAACACTCTCAGTTGGTGGTTCAAGTCCATTCAGAGGTGGCCTAGCAATCTGCTTCCAAAAATCAGTCATTTAAACCCCCGTGGCACACAGTTCTACTCTGACACGTGGGGGGTCACCATGAATTGGTGTTGATTCTTATTACACTAACTGGTTTTGGAAGCAAAGAAGGAAGACATGTCTCTGCTCTTTGGAATACATAAAAACTGTACTATACAGCTTACTGATTTGGAGAAGAGAGTAATTCATGCTTATCATCTGGAAGCACATGCTCCCACCCCTCCCGCCCCTCCCAAGGGCACGGGAGAAGAAACCAGGCCTGATCCTCATGGGTCACAAGGTCAACTAAACTGGTGGGTTTTTAGAATCTCCATCTGCCTATTTATGGCTGGGTTGTATAGATAGGATGATCCTAGTTGGAAAAATATCCCTAATGTATGTGTCTCCCAATTGGGTCCCAATTTGAGCAACTGAGAAACACAAGCAGGGGAAAGGTGAGATTTATGGACCCCCAAAAGCTCCAGCCGAGCTCAGAATGGAGGACTCACGGTCAGCATCGGCACACACGATACAAGGGTTTTTGCCCCCAAGCTCCAGCGTCACTCTCTTCAGGTTGCTCCGGGAGGCGGCTTCTTTAACTAGCTTTCCAACCTTCAGGAAAAAACAGACAAGAGTAAAGTGTGAACTTGGCCAAATGTTCATATCAGTTCTGGAAAAGTTATTCTCTTGAATCCTCGATCCCATCTGCTCCACTTACAGGTGTGGAAGAGAGCCTGGGAAGCTCAGGTGATTCACGCCAAGTCACACAACTGGCTGGTGGCAGGGTGGCCACTGCTGCTGCCAGCCTCTGCCCCAAGAGCCCCTGAGTCCTGAATCACCTGTCCTAGCCACCTGTTCCTAGGAATCCAGCAAGCTGGTCCCACTAGTCAGACCGGGATTTGGAGGTACCCCTCGCCAGTAACATTCTGAAGTTCTAATAGGAAGATGCCCACAGTCCAGTGGAAAAGGTGGGCCTGTATGTGTGGCTTTCCAGTGAAATCTAAGGGAACCTCCAAGTATTAATTGAAGGAATAACGTATCTGGAAAGACAAAAGCCAAATAGTAATGCCCAGGCTTCCAAGTGGATCGGATGGGGCCTCTCATAACTAGAAGTGTCACTGATTGGATGGTAGGCTTGGCTGAGATGTCACTCTGATGGACCCAAAATGCCAAAGCTAAAAGGAGCCTTGGAAATGCTCCCCTCGAATCCTCTTGTCCTACAGATGTGGACACCAAGACTAGAATCAGACACTCATGAAGAAGAGCACTTGTTGGGGGTTGTTGGCTGTGTGCCACCAAGTCGGTTCTGACTCATAACGACCATGTCATTATGGATTTCCAAGGCTGTAAATCTTTATGGGAGCAGAAAGCATCATCTTTCTCCCGTGGAACAGCTGGTAGATTGAACTGCTGTCTTTGTAGTTAGCAGCCCAGTTTGTAATCCACGGGACTCCTTCAGCAAGAAGAGCAGAGCTGGGTTATTCCAAATTGGCTGTTGTTTCTGTCACACTAAGATGTAAGTCTGGAGCTCATGGGTGATGCAAACAGTTCAGCTGCTAACCACAAGGTAGGAGGTTCTAGTCCGCACAGAGATGCCTTGGGAGAAAAACCTATCACTGAGAATCCTGTGGAAGGCAGGTCTTCTGACACATGTGGGATCGCAGTGAGTTAGAAGCCACTTGAGGCAACTGGTTTCTTAGGTGTGAATGCAACTTAAAAAATTAGTCTGAATTAGCGTGGAATAGACCAACAGTGACAGCGTTTGTCTCCAAGGAGTACAACAAAAGCCAAATCATCTAGCCACAAGTTCAGGGTTTACCGGTGGTGTTGAGGGGCATTGTTGCTGTTAAAAACCTGGATAGTGTTTCCGAGGCTTTAAGTCTTTGGAGGGAGCAGAAAGCCTCATTTTTCTCCAACAGAGCAGGTGGCGGGCTGGAACTGCCAACCGTGTGATCCACAGTCCAGTGTTTATCCCATGGAAACACCCTTTGAGGGGCACAGACACACCAGATGGAGACCCCTTTTGCCACAGAAACCGTGATCTTATCCAGGACACTGGCTACTGAGGGAGGTAACACCTGACTGGACCCACGGGCACCTAGAAGGTGAAGGGCTCTCTGCAGAGAAACCTGGCAAGGCGAGAGGAGAGGGCCATTTGGAAGCTGGGCGAGGAGATGGGGACAGATGCAGGAACAGCTGGAGGGTGGGAACCCCAACTTGCTCCTCTCTGCCTGTATCTCAGAGGCTAGGTGTGAAGTTGCTGATCGGCTCCATGTGCTAAGTTATCCTCATGCTATTTAAATTTTTTTATTTTGTTAAAATATATACAGCAAACAGTTGGCCATTCTAGCCATTTTTAAGTGTATAACGCAGTGGCATTATTCATACTCAATGCTGTACACCACCACTATCGTCTGTTTCCAAAACTCATCACCCTAAACAAAAATTCAGTATCCACTGAGTGATGACTCCCTGCCCTCTTCAAGCCCCTCAGTAACCATTAATAAACTTTCGTCTCCATGCATTTGTCCTTTCCAGAGATTTCATATAAGTGGGATCAGATAATATTTATCCTTTTGTGTCTTAGATATTTCACTTGGCATGTTTTTATGGCTCATCCTTATAGTATGTGTCAGTATTTAATTTCTCTTGACAACTGAATAAAAGTCCATTACATGAGTATACCACATTTTGATCATCCATTCGTTGGTGATGGTCATCAGTTTATTTCTGTCTTTTTGTTGTTATTATGTGCCGTGGAGTCGGTTCCGACTCATAGCGACCCTGTACAGGGTTTCCGAGGCTATAATTCTTTACGGGCGCAGAGAGCCTCATCTTTCGCCCGCGGAACGGCTGGTAGTTTCAAACTGCTGACCTTGAGGTTCGCAGCCTGATGTGTAACCACTATGCTATGCTGCAATGAGCATTATCAAGTGATCTCTTTGAGTTCTTGCTGTCATATCTCTTGGGTATATCCCTAGGAGTGGAATTGCCAGGTGTTATGGTGGTACCGTAGGGTATACACTGGACTTCTAACTGCAAGGTCACCAGCACAAACCCAGTAGTACAAATCCTCAGAAGATGAGGCTTTCAGCATTTACAGTCTTGGAAACAACTCAGTGGTGATGAGTTTGGTCTTATGGTAATTCCAATGTTAATCTTTTTGAGGACCTGCCAAACTGTTTCCTACAGTGGTCACACCATTTTACAACCCCACCAGCAATGTACAAGGCTTCTATTTTCTCCATATCCTCACCAACACTTGCTGTTTCCCATTTTTCTGATCAGCATCCTATGAGTGTGAAGTGGTTGGATTTTCTTACGGCCACTGGCTGGATGTTGGGGACCTACTTCGGACTCTCCATCTTTCTAAGTTGCCCAGTCTGGTGTATCAGAGCCGGGCAGCAGTGGCACTGTTTCGCCAGGACCACAGAAGGGGTGCAGGTTCCTGGATGGACAAAGCCAGGAGGGAATTAGGAGATATCTATACAGGGTCTCTATGAGTCAGGACCCACTCCTTGGCACTTCACAACAACAACTTGTATCGGGGGATTTATTCTTTGCCTTTTTTACATTCTCTGTGACCGATGCCACGGATCATGATGTCTAGAAACTGTTGACATGATGGGAACAGGTTTTGCTGTGTACATTTTCACACAAAATAAAATAAAATAATATTCTAAAGCAACAGTACATTCTCATTTAAAAAAAACCATCCCATATACAGATGTGGGTGAATTAAAGGAGGAAGCTCTTAATCTCTTCTCACCCTGCCCCAGGACCAGATCCAGAGGTGGCTGCTGATGCTGCATTACTATTTCCCAGGACTCCTTCTAAACAATTCACACACACACACACACACACTCTCTCTTTCTAATTGAATCCTAATTGACTTCCCTATAGTTTGCTTTTTGGTGTTTCAGCAATAGGTTGTGGACATTTTTCCTTATTAGAATTCCACATACCCCTTATTGTAATAGATGCAAAATATTTCAGAGAATGGACCAAACATACTTTAGACTAGGTCTTTAAATGTTCATGAGATTGTTTCTGTAATCCATATCTTCAAAATGGAATTCTGAATCTAGAATTGCAATTAAAGATGTTTGATCTATCAGACCAAGTTGCCCTCCATTTTAGCAGCAATTAGACTGTTTTCCTGTTCTCCTAAATTTTCAATAGCAGTAGAGTTTAGGTTTTGCAATTTGACAGATAAAAACAGAAGAGTCTGATTTTCGCCTGGCTGAATTCGTATCCCCTGATTACCAGTGACGTACGTTGTTTATTCGTGACTCAGTGATTGTCTTCTTGGAACTGCCCACTTTCCTTCAGCGAGGTGGCCATTTCCCCATTGGTTTGCAGGAGTGCTTCTGAGAACGGCTACTCTTCCCAGCATGGTAGTTATCATTTCATCTCGATTATGATGTGTTTGCTATAGAACACCTTACATTTGAATTTTACCTTCTCTGTCTTTCCTGACAAGACTTATGAGTTCTAGTAGATATTTATTTTACTTTGAAAACAAAACTTTTTAGTATATAAAAATCAACAAAAACGAAACAAAATAGGGTAAGATGAGTGCACACCAATATTCTCCCATGTAAATAAACTGTCACTCAATTCACAATAAAAGCTTTGAAAGGAAAGAAAAGAAAAAAAACCACACACACACAAAAATTACTTGATTTTTGATGCTTCAACAATAGGTACTTAAACCAGGAAAAAAATATCACTGAATTTTTTTGTGGTGCGATAGGGTAATCACTCAACCTGAAGGTTGCTTTGAACCACAAGATTGGAGATTCAAACCCACCAGCTGCTCCTTGGAAACCCCATGAAGGGTCACTATGAGTTGGAAGCGATTCAACAGCACTTAACAACATATACTAAAATGATTCCTGGTGTGGCTCTGTAGGATCAGCACCAGACTTCAAACCACAAGGTCGGCAGTTCAAACCCATTAGCTACTCCTCAGAAACGCTGTAAAGGGTCACTATGAGTCGGAACCGACTGGACGGCACTTACAACAACAACATATACTTGTTGTAATCCAGTTAAACAAAAAATCCAATTGAACTTCTCAAAGGAAAAGTGTATGTGGCAGGGGTTACCTCTGTGGATCCCGTGAAAGCTATCTTGTCAATTTGTGGATGAGAAGAAATGGCGGCTCCCACTGTGGGCCCAAATCCCGTCACAATGTTGACCACACCTGGAGGGAACCCGACCTGGGAAGAAATACGAAGGTGGTCAGAGGAAGAGGGCAGACTAATGTCAGCCCAGGCTGCATGTGGCTGAGGAGCGCTGGCCACAGCTGTCCCTAAGCAAGGCAGCATTCTCATTGGAAGCCTGAGTTCAGGCCAGCCTGGAGTTGTCCCCAGTTCAGGGCTGTGCCCCTACCCACTCCGACTACCTTGTAGGTTGCACAGCAACCCCAGAAGTGCTTGTGAACAGGTCTACAGCAAGATCACAAGATGGCGCCACCTCTCTCTCAGCAGAACACCACTGGAGGGGTGACCAGAGCAATCTCTGGTTTCAGCGCCCAACATTCAAAGGTGCTGAAATAGATCCTTCCCAAGCTTTCGTTTTTATTTTTAAATTGGCCCCATTGATTTTTCCAAGTGGTCACTGACATTACCCCCTCAAATTTCTTCACTTGTCCAACCTTAAAAGTTGGCCCTTCTTGAAGATAGTTGTACTAGTTGACTCCAATGCATAGTGACTCCATGTGAATGGGCTCCCCAGAGTTTTTAATGGCCTATTTTCAGAAGCAGATTGCCAGACCTTTCTTCTGAGACACCTCTGGTTGGATCTGAATGCCCAACCTTTCAGTTAATAGCCAAGTGTGTTAACTGTCTGTACCACTCAGGAATTCCTTCCAGAAGACAGGCAGTGCTATTTCTCTGGTTTTCACATTCATGGCCTTGTGTGTACAAGTATTATGTAAGCATACCACAAAATGAACAGGCCTTCATTTGTGGGGGATGCTCTTCCTTCTATTTCTAGTGACTTATCTAAACACATGTTTTGCTTCAGAAAAGTCAAGCTTTTAGGATATGGTGCTTGAGCGCTCATTTTCTCAGTACTGATTTTTTAGCAGTAGTGATGTTCGAAGTTGTTAAGTCAAATCAGTGTGACTGAATCATGTCCTATAATATCAGTACAAGGAAACTAGTCCACGGTTGGCTGTTGGCAACCTTGAATCTAAGAAGTAAAGGACTAAAAGACATGCCTCCAATGGGACTAACCCAGCTGAGACAGGAAATAAATGCAGGTTTTCTCCCCAAAAAGCAAACTGGATTACTTTTTTGTTTGCTCTCTTTTTCTAAAGGTTTGCCACAAATGAGGAGAACAGGTTTATGAAAAAATTCCATTATCTTTCAACTCCATGAACTTTTTGAAACCACCTTGTGCAAACTTGAGAGAGAAAGACTGAAATATATTGCTCAGTGGTTCTGAGAGGAAGTGTCCCTTTGGCTGCTTGCCTCCCCGGTGGAGAAGACAGTTGCTGGCCAGCAGAGACCCTGAGGAGGAGAAGCCCCAATAAGTGTGCACCCCCTTCAGAAGAAAACGGGACCATTTTATAGCCCACATATGCAAAGCCCAGTTAAACTCCCAGATATGTGATTCCCTCTGGGGTGACCCCTCCCAGAAATTCTCTAGACAAAATGTTTGCTTCTAAATCATAGGTTTGACCTCATAATGAGACTTAAATATTCTCACTAGGATCATGGGGAGGAACGGAGCCTCTCTTTAAGTTCAGTGACCACAGGTAGGAGAAAGTGCAGCTGCCAAGCAAAACCTGGGCGCCATCCTGGTCCCACTCAGCCACGAACAGGCCAGCACCGCTGTGCATGGGCTGGTTCGACCTGGCAGCTTTATCTTGGCTGGCCAATGGCCTGGGAGAGGGACTGTTACCACAAATGCATAATACTTTCTTTCTGGAAATAGTGTTACCTCTTTGATCAGAGAGCCTAGATAAAGGGCGGTGAGGGGGGTCTGCTCTGCCGGCTTCACAACCACGGTGTTCCCACAGCACAGGGCTGGAGCCAGCTTCCATACCAGCATCAGGAGGGGGAAGTTCCACTGCAACAGAACACAGAGGGTCTCGATGACCTGGATCTACCGCCACCCAGTCCCAGGCCCCCAACAACACCTCTGTGGAGGACACTTGCTTTGCTGGTCTAGGTTTGGATTATAAACGATCATGTTGCTAAGTGCCATCGAGTCAGTGTTGTTGTTGTATGTGCCGTGGAGTCAGTTCCGACTCAGAGCGACCCTGTACAGGGTTTCTGAGGCTGTAAATCTTTATGGGAGCAGAAAGCCTCATCTTTCTCCCGTGGAACCCCTGGTAGTTTCGAACTGCTGACCGTGAGGTTAGCAGCCCGATTCGAAACCACTACGCTACCAGAGCTCCTTATCGAGTCAGTAGGAGTGTACCATTAATCACAGCTATGGGTCAGAATCGACTCGATGGCACTTACACATCAATAACACTCCTGCCCAGCATTCTAGGAGATGTTAATAGGTTGTCTTTGCAAAGAGGATTCTGCAGTACAAAGACTGCCTTTCCCCTCTTGGAGGTTTCTAATGCAATCAGTGTATTGAAGGCTCTGAAAAGTCCTACAGGAACAAGACCCACCCCTCCTCACTTAGATGTCGCAGGGTCATTGTCTCGCCTTACAAAATACATACTGACCACCTCTGGCCCCCTGCACACACACTGAATGGTGTTTGGTGAAGTGAACTTTCATAAATGCTTTTCTCATCCTTCAGTGACAGACAAGGACTCTGACGTCAAGAACTAGTCCTAACACTTGGCACTGCCTTAAGACGTTTTTAAAAAAATTACTGCATTTGATCCCTCCAAACTCTTATAAGGTAGGAATATGATCGTGCCCATTTACAAATAAGGGGACGGAGCCACAGAGAGGGAGGTCACTTGCTCATGGCTGTAAGGTGTCAGGTGGTCAAGCCATGTCCTGTCCCCTCTGCTCTTACATTGTTAGCTTTGATGGGTCTGGATGAAACATAGACTTGCGAACTGTCCAGCACCTCCCCGAAATAATTTGTCTCTTAATGCTCCAAGGAGGCCAAACACAGAAGTTAATTCACAAACTCAGCCCCACAGAACCAACCAAAGATAACCTCCTCATGGGACTGTCGGCAGGCCCACTAGGATTTCTCCTGTCTGAAATTCCTACCACTAGACGACAAAGATTAGAATCCTGTTCCCACGGGCCTGTGTGCTCTGTGAAATGACCACCAGGAGTGGATTAGTTGCCATTGAATCAACAGCGCCATGTGTGTCAGAGTAGAAATGTGTTCCATAGCATTTTTAATGGTTGTTTTTCAAAGTAGATTGCCAGATGTTTCTTCAGAGGTGGCTCTGGGTAGACTCGAACTTCCAACTTTCAGTTAGCAGTTCAGCACATTACCCATATGAACTATCCTGTCATTTCAGGGATTCTCTTAGGGTTCCCTTAAATACGCACTGGACCACAAGGTAGGTTTGAATCACAAGGTCGGTGACTCAAACTCACTAGCTGATCCTGGAAAGCCCTGTACAAAGTCACTGTGAGTCGGAGCCCACTCGATGGCACTTAACAGCAGCAACTGGGCTCAAGGTCCCTTCTTCTTCCCCAACCCCTTAGCTTACAAACACCATCATCTCCCACTCTCCAAGCCATCACACAACCTGCCTTTAACCTCAAACTTTCTAGAAACTCCCTTGTCGTTCTTGCCTTGACTTCTTAGAAGAGTGGCAACCAGCTGTCAAGCACGATAGCTCCCAGTGCACCCGAATCTCCCCTCAGTGTGTTCTTCATGAGCAAATCCAAGTGTGCGTTTCCATCTTTGTTTTATTTACTTTCCATGTTATGATTTGACCCCACGGACCACAGTCTCTTTCTGGAGATACTGTCCATCTGAGGGATATTGCTGACCCTTGATGGTTTCCTGTTCCTAGTCTCTTCTCACTCTAGGATTTTCTTGTTGAATCAGCAACAGAGAGAGAACAGCCCTACTGACGCCCTGAATCCAAGCTTCCAGCCACCCGAACTGTGAGACCATAGCTTTCTGCTTTTAGAACCACTTACCTTGCAGTGTTTTGTTACCGCAGCTTTGAGAGACTGAGGTAGCTCCTCTGCTTGGCTGTTCCACTGGCCCCTCAGGACCATCACCCTAGCCAACCTGCTTCCACATTGCATCAATCGACATCACAGTCAGGACTCACCACCCCTACTCCCGCACTTCGTTACCCACTGAACCTCATAAGAAGCTTTCAATCCTACACCTCTGCTTGTTCCTGCATGGCTCCTCTCTTCTCCCTCCTCCTGGTGTGGACTCCACCTCAGCCCACTAACTGGCCTGCAAGCTGCCTGAGGGCAAAGGTTGGTTCCTTGCCTTCAGTGTCCTTAGAGCCTCCATACCACACCGGGCACACACCATGCTCTCCTTGCCCCACAGAGCTTGTCTGCAGTCCGTTCTTCTCATGGCTGACTCACCGGCTCCTGACCCAAACACACAGGCACCAAGTGGGCAGAGCCACCACCTTTGGCAGCTCAGTCCTGACCATGGTGCTCCCCTTTTTGCTGGCTTCTCTCCTCTAAGCATTGCCTTATTATCTGCTATCCCTTCCAAGTCCCCAGGCACTTCCTGTCCTGCCCCATAGCATTCCTGCTGCTTGGAAAATCCGGTGCCTTATCCTTCAAGTCCCAGTTACGAGACCACCTCCCTCTCTGACCCCTCCAGCCGGCCTGAGACATGGGCCTTGTTCCCAGGGACTCGTGTGCTCTGTTAAGCAATCCCATTGTACTTCCAGAACAGATCCCTTGAAGAGCATGGATGGGACCAAAGTCAGGTCCATATCTCTCAGGCCCCAAGTATTCAAGTTAATCAAACACAGTAAGGATTGGTCCCACAGCCCATGGGGAAGGGGATGGGATCTATTTATTTTGTTAAGGAAAGTCACCATACTTACAGGAGTGATGGCTCCGCACACACCTATGGGCTCATGCCTGGTGAAGCACACAACGTTGTCATCTGGAAGAGAAGTTTAACCGGAAGAAGACCACACTCGCATTAAACAGGTTACCAGCTTTAAGTAGTAAAAAGACAAGAAGGAAGTTGAGAGGCACACAAAAAACTCCGTGTTTTGTCGACAACACAAAGAAGGATTTTAACTCAAATGCAAAAGTAAAACTCCTGAGAAAGAAGAAGAATCAGCCTGGTGCCACACTCTATTTGGGACCAGGGAGGATGCCCTTGGGTTAGGGGAAGGCAGAGTCCCAGAAGAGCCACCCCACAAGGCCGAGTCCTACTGTGGCTTACCTGTGGGGATGGTCCTGCCCTGTATCTTGTCCGCCCACCCTGCAAAGTACCGCAGGGTTGTTATGCAGCCCTCCAGGTCAATGAAAAAGGCATGAAGGAATGGCTTCCCAGTATCCATTGTTTCCAGGGTCTGCAACAGCAAGTGGACAATACACTTTCTCAGACACCGCTTGGTTATCAGTGTAACTATCAGGCTATCCAAAGACAGGGGCGGAATGGAAGCCAGCACAGTCCTTGGACACTGCTCTGTTGCCTTGCAGTCATCTGGTGTCTTTAAAAACTAAGAAAGGTACTAAACTTAGAAGGGAGAATGATGAAAACACCAATCCCTAGAAAGGAACATCATGGTTGATATAGTAGCCTGTTGTTTCTAAGTGCCGTCGAGTTGGTTCTGACTCATCGCAGCCCTGAGGCGTGGCTAGTGGGCTTGAACTGCCAACCTTGTGGTTTGCAGCTCAGTGCTGATCCCACAGCGCCACACCAGGAGTCAGTAAAAATGAGGGAAATCTCACAAACAGCCACAAGAATGGACTCAAAACATGCTGATGATCACGAAAGACAGCTGAGGACCAGGGAACACTGCATTCTGCTACACAAAGTCAGAGCCAACTCAATGGCAATTCACAACAACAAAATCGATCCCAGATTAGCAACGGTGGTTTATATCTTGAAACCCTTACAGTAGGGGAGCCGCTTAGACAGATGCCGGGCTGATTGGAAGCCTTGCTAGAAATAATAAATACCCTTTAGCATTTGACCTTCATTTGGCCTGGCCCTGTGGGCTTGTGCCTTCCCAGGAAGATGCAGTGGTGAGCTGGTGTGGACTGACTAGAACGAGGCCTTCCAGAACGATCACCTCGCTCATGAAAGGGTCATGAGAGAACAGGGGATCCTTCTTCTCTGCTAGGCTGCCCTGGAAAGAGTGACGGAGCCAGGGGGCTGCACCACCAGTCAGCACACGACACACCCCTAGCTCGCGTCTGTGCTGGGCGCAATGTGGGAACTGAGCTTCTCTGGTCATAAGGGAGGTGATTACCCAGGGCGAGGACTGGAGAAAGACGCTCAATGGCACGATTCTTTTCCATGTCCAGCCCCGGTCTAAGAGAACTCCTTTGTCTTCAGATCAGCAGCCTCAGTGTGCCCAGCCCTGAACCTGCCAGTCAACCCTCGCAGCAGGAAGTGGCCGCCCTGACACACAGCCCAGGGCTGGATTCTTGTAGCTGCATCAGTGGAATAGGAAGATGGTCTAACAAAGCAGAAAGGACACTGCCCGGGTGAAGCTTTAATGCACAGCACACTCGACTGTATCGTGGTTTCTGTTTGCCAGTGCTCCACACTGAGTGTGGCATCATGATTCCCGCTTTAAAGTGGGGAAACTGAGGCTTCTCTAAGGTGGTCCTGTGAGTCAGTGGCAGGGCAGGGTCTGAATCTGGGCCTCTGACTTCTAGCCGGTACAGAACCACCACATGAGCTGCTGTCACAACCCACTTGCGGCTGGAAGTGCTCCAGGTCACCAACTCTACGTGCTGGGTTTCTGTAGGGATGAGCTAAGTATTTGGGGCCACTATGAGTGGAAGGTGACTCAACAGCAAATCGGTCACCTCAGAGGGTTATTGTGTGGGTTAAATGAGTCCATACCCTTAGAGCCTGCCCACAGTAAGCACTATGTAACAGCTAAGAAAGAAAATTGTAATGACTAAGTGGATTGTCCTCATCTTCCCTTGGGTACCAGACTTCCCAGGGCCTTGGCAGTCCTCATCTGGGGACACCAAGGAGCAGGGCTGTGAGGTGCTGAAGATGACAAGCTGAGCTGGTTTGTAAGGAGTCCCACTCCTTGGGTGCCATTTGGGGTCCAGGTCAGGTCAATTTGACACCATCCAGTGTGGTTCTGTGAGTTAATGCGCTGGACTGCAAAGCTGGTTTGAACCACAAGGTCAGAGGTTCAAGCTCACCATCTGCTCCTTGGAAACCCTATACAGAGTCGCTATGGGTTGAAACCGACTCCACCACGGCACTTTGCAACAATAACAACAGCAGTACTGTACTTTGGACTCCAGCTGACTTATATTCCAAGTTTGAACTTTTGTTTTCTCAGGGGACACCTAACAATTGTAAATAAGTCAAGAAAGTCTCCAAGACCGAGCCCCTCCAGGCCATGCCTGCGTATTTGTCAGGGGGACCCTAACCTGCTCTCCACCCTTTTCCGGTTGGGACAAAGGAGAAAAGGGCAGAGGGCTGCTACCTCCAGTCCCAGTTCACCACCCCTCACTAGTACGCTAACCTCTCTGGGCCTCAGTTTCCTCACCTGTGAAGTGGGATCATAAATACTACCAGTCAAGTGCCTACAACAGGTTTGACACATGTAAACATTGGCTATATTTTATAATTAACATATTCACATGAGTATGTTTGCTTACTAGAGAGACAACATGAATTTACAGACTGGATTTCTTTATGGAAACTCTCTAAGCAAAAATCAGATCCTGATAGGTTTACAAAGGAAGCTCAAGAAAATTTTTTAAACAGCAAGAGCCCCTTGGGCTGAACCAGAGAAACCAGGTGTTAGTCACCGTGGGGAACAGTCACCTCTGAAAACGCTACTGGAGCTCAGCCACTCCTACTTTATTTCCTTTAACATTTGAAGAAACAAAAGTGTACTTTCTGACAAATGCATACCTCACAGTCCTGAGAATTCTCTAGAAGTGTGCAGAAACCAGGCCATGCATGTCACTGGCTTAAAATAAGAAGGCCTGGAATAGGACTCAGCTTAGAGTGGGGACCCCTATTTGGGAGCCCAGGACCGCGGGTGAAGGAAAGACACCGTCGAGCCTCCCACATCTGTTCCCAAGCATCGAATGCAGAAATAAAGACTAAGGTCTGTGGGAACCCCTGACGAGAACACCACCAAAGAGGTGCTTTTCTTGTGTGAAAATGCAGGAAACCATATCAAGGTGCGGAACGAGGTGTATAACCCTGTGATGTGGTTGGGATTTTTCACAATCACATTTGCCAGCATTCTCTTGTCCCTTTCATGTTGTGGCAGAGAGCTGGGTCTGATTTCTGAAGTGCCGGTGGTGGTGGCAGCGAGGTGCTAGAGAGGGGCCAGCATTCCTCCAACTCTTCTGCTTTCCAAATGCAGTGGAAGGAAGGTGGCTTCTCAGGCAGTGTTTCCTAAGGTGATACTGGCACTTGAGGACAGGGTGGGGAAAGGTGCCCAGGGCACATCCTCTCCCATCTGTTATTAGTCCACACGGACATTACAGACGGATGAGCTCATGCCGGGTGAAAACAGAAATTTTTTTGAAAAAGCCAGTTTGGCAGCTTGAGGGTTGAGGCTGGCTTTCGTTGCAGGAAGAAACCAGGGGCTCCGTGAAGAGGAGCACTCCACTCTGGGAGGGTGTGATCCTCCCCCTGACTCCGGCGCAGTCCTCCCCGGACTCCGGCAAGCATTCTGTGCAGGATTCAGAACGGCCCGCTTGGCTGTCTGTGCGGATACACCTCAGGGAAAAGGCACCGGAGAGCAGAACTCCTCACCCCTCAGTCCCTAAAACACAAATTCCTGGGACAGAAGCAATTTCAGTTTCCTAACTGTACCCTTTAATAAGATGGTCAGCAAGAAAGGAAAGAACCAGGTTTCCAAATCTGAAGTCACAAAGGAGATTTCCTCTTGCAAGGACTAGGCTTCAAGGTTGGGAGCAGTTTTAAACAGGAGTCTGAGCTTTTTGAGGGCTGAATGAACAGGTTGCAAAGGTCCCCTAAGGCACCTGTGGTCCCACCTCAAGGCCAAAGGCAAGTCTAAGTATCCCATAACATAATACATATATAACTTATAAATGTGTTCCCAGCCCAGCTCTTGGAAGTGACCCGATCTCATGCAGTGATCTGAAATAATCTCCCTATCTTACAGCTGAGGAACTAAGGTGTCTAGCAATTACTGGTCAGGAGGCATATAGCTAGAACTAGAACCTAGGATAGCATTTTTATGATTACTATTATTAATAATAATAACTATCACCCATTTAGTGCTTATTACATGTTTTCTAAATCTCGTAAGGATTTTAAAGGGACCATTCTCAGAACACTTAGATACACCTTTATCAGTGACACCTTTCAGAGAGAGGTAAAGGCAAACTTGTCCAAAGTCACAGAATAAGTAGGTGGCAAAGCTGGGATTTGAACCCAGGTCTTTCAAAATGTCAGATTCTGCTACTCTTATTACTTCTCCACACACACACTGTTGTTGGTATTGTTGATAACTGCCGTTCAGTTGGTTCCGACTGATAGTGACCTTGTACAGGGTTTCCGAGGAGTGACTGGTGAATTTGAACCACCAACTTTGCGTCTCAAACCGACTTTGGGGTCCAGTGTGTTATCCCACAGTGCCACACCAGGACTCCCGATTCCGGGGTGATCCAGGGGATTGTTTTAGCTGATACAGACACACTGTTTTCTGTGCTTAGTGGTAGCATTTACTTTAATTGGTACTAGGGAAAATAGAACCAGCACATTAAACCTGTGATTTCACGAGTAGAGTCACTTATCATAAGGCTAAATTCAAGTTTAAAAACAGTTAGTGTGAAGACAAACGTTAAATAGATATATGTGCAGGTAGTAGACCAAGATACGGCCAGAGAGCTGCAACTTCAGAGTGCCTAACAAACCCACCCCACCACATAAAACCAGTGCCTTCCACCAAGTTCCCACTCCAGTCCTTGGCTGACACCTGTCCTTGGGTAGGGCAGGTGAGGTGGGGTGGGGGTGGACATGTGAACTCACAGCCAGAATGGTCCGGTCCCGCTCCACCAGGTCCGCCAGCTGATGCAGCAGCCTGCCTCGGCTCAGGGCATCCATCCGGCGCCACGGCGAGCCCCGCTGGAAGGCAGCTTGCGCAGCCTCCACGGCCTTGTCCACGTCTGTCTGTGAGAACAGATCAACAGAGTGGTTGTCTCCTGATGTGACTGAGGTTTGGAAAGTTTGTGTCTCCATTAGGTAGCACCAAGTAAAGAGGGGAGGTGAATGGGGGGAGAGGGACCAAACACTGCCAACAAGTCAATTCCAAATCCTTAGGGTTCCGTAGACTGTTAGGGTAATTTTTCTCCTAAGTAGTGAGTGTTGTTGTTGTTAACTGCCATGCAATTGGTTCTGACTCATAGCAACCCTGTATAGGGCTTCCGAGGAGTGACAACCAACAGACCTTTCAGTTCACACTGACCTTGGGGTTGAAGGCTTACTCTACAGGGCCACACCAGGACACCCAGTGCTACTGCTGACCTTGTAGTTAACAGGCCAACACTTAACCCACAGGTCTCCTTATGATTAGAAAGCATTTAAAAATATGAAAATACCTTTATTATACTATAACATATAATTGAATACAAGAGGAGTTGAAAAGTTCATGGAAAAATGGAATTAAAAGAAAAGGGAATTTTTCCAGAAACTTTTTGAAGTCCCATTGTACTGTTGTTGTTATGTGCCGTGGAGTCAGTTCTGATTCATAGTGACCCTGTACAGGGTTTCCGAGGCTGTAAATCTTTATGGGAGCAGAAAGCCTCATCTTTCTCCCGCCGAACAGCTGGTAGTTTTGAACTGCTGACCTTGTGGTTCACAGTTCAATTCGTAACCACTACGCTATCAGAGCTTTTCCAGAAACTTTTTGAAGTCTCACTGTATAGTATATGCAATACACACAAAAACATAGATCGTAATACCTAAAATGATACATAGCACATTATTTTAATAAGTTTATTGGTTTGGGTGCCATTAAGTCAATTCTGGCTCACAGTCACCCTTTAGAACAACAGAGTAGAACTGTCCCATAGGGTTTCCGATGTTTCTCCTGCACACTGGCTTCTTGGTTTAAAGTCAATCCTGTGATTAGCAGCCAAGTCAGAACTTCAAACATTTCTCCACCAGAGAACCCCACAACATGTATACTGTATACATTATATTTTTCTACAAAATATATTATGTTTTCTAATGGAGTACTGGTATGGTGTTATAGGATAAACACTGGACTGATAATTACAGATTGATAGTTTAAACCCACCAGCCACTTCCTGAAAATGTTATACCAGGTTGCTATGAGTCGGAACCAACTCGATGGCCCTTAATGACAATATTATAAATAGACCAAAATATAAATATCACATTTATATCGTATATACACATTTACACTATGTAATATTGTATTGTATTGAATTAGGTAGTTTCCAATTTATGATGTATTCTACTTAGGATGAATGAACATTTATGACCACTTACAACTGTTTCTCTCTTATTTTTGTACATCGTATATCATTAGTAACATATGCTACAAATAATATGTAGCATGCAATTTGCTGGTATCATATCTATAAGTTTATGTGTAATGTTTTCGACCCCCAAGATGAATAAAGACACTGATAATAATTTTTTTTTTTTTTTAAAGAACAGAAGTATTTTGACTTACATCAGAACCAACTTATGGCCGAGTAGTTGAAAGGGACCCTGTTGTAAGTCAGGGACTGTCTGTATCATTTTATACCATACTACTGTAAAATATTTATAAAAATGCTCATAAAATATCTTAAGTATTTTTCTTAGTGGCCAGAGTAGGAAAAAATTTTTGTTTACTAGTAGGCTTTGAGCACACACAATCTTCACAGTTCACGAATTAGGGAGTAACTATGAAGGGGCTTCAGAAAGTTCATGGAGAAATGGGGCTAAAAGACAATGGAATCTTTCCCTGGGTCTGGCTTGGTGTCTTATTCCTGTTGAGAACTGTTACCCCAGAGAGACTGAGGAATTAATTCTCTGCAGATATGGAAGTTTTCTTACCTGGTTAAGAAGAGTTGGCATACAGCTAAGTACAGGTGCTCCTCTTAGGCCTTCTCCCTGAAGCCTCAGCCCACCCAAGGGATCAAATCACCACCATTTTATAGACAAGGAGCTGGAACTTTTGTGCTTGAATAGAGTTACAGATACTCATTGCTGTTGAGTTGATTCTGACTCATAGTGACCCTATACAGGGTTTCTGAGACTATAAAATGTTGTGGGAGCAGACAGAGTCATCTTTCTCCCTTGGTGAGTTCAAGGCCCAGCGCTTCCCCCATGGCACCACCAGAATTACAGTAAACCCTTCTTTTTAAAGTAAAGAAAGTTCCAGAAGCACTAGATGGTGCCAAACTACCACTACCAACTGCCTTGAAAGGGATCACATTAAATGATTACAGATTGAGTGGGAGAAAATGTGGAACAAAATTCAAAATTATTTTTAAAAGAACGTTTGCTGGTCAGAAAGACTGGAGGAATCTGAGACTATGGCTTGTGACCATCCTTCATGTCTAGCAAGGGATTCACACTTGTGGTCCAATTTTCCGCCAAGCAGTAGACAGGTTTATGAGGGAGCTGGGGGAAACACACTAGCAAGGCATGCTCGCCATAGTATGGTTACTCATTCAAAATCAAAAGGGCAACATTTTTCTACAGACAAAGTTGTGAAGGGATAGGAAGATGGGTGGAATGCAAACAGGAATCACTGGGAGGAAGCAGGGTAACTTGTTGCTTGGAGGGGATTATAAATATGGATATGAAACAAAGTCTATGATTTGCTGAATGTAAAGCTGATGATCTTGTCTGTAAACCTTCACTCAATTCACAATAAAGTTAAAAAGTCAAGT